CAATTCATCTAGATTTTCAAATAATTGACATAAGAAAGTTGATTATATTTTCTCCTGATTTTTAGTAAGTCTGCGGGATGTGTCATAATGTTCCTTATTTCATTCCAGATACTGGAAATAGGCCCTTTTGTTCTGGCTTAGTTTTTGCTAGGAGTATATCAATTGTATTAATCTTAACCAACTTTTATTTTGGTGGTTTTCTCTATTGTACTTTTCGTTTTTTGTATTTTATTGGATTCTTCTCTCATCTTTTTCTACTTCTCTATCCGTGGTGCTTAATTTGCCAGTCCTTTTCTAACTTCTCAAGATGGGACCTTTCATCATTGACTTTTAAGCATTTTTAAATTTTATAATATAAGCATGTAGCCCCATAAATCTCCCTTAAAGCACTGCTTTAGCTGCATAATTCAGATTTTGGTATGTCCTTTTATTCTTCATCAAAATAATTTCTAATTTCCCTTGTGACTTTTCTTTGACTCACGGAAAATCGTTTTGTGTGTTGCTTCTTTTCCAAATATTTGAGGATTATTCTAGTTCAATTTAGTTACAGACTTCTGGTTTAAATCTCAGAAAACATGCACGGTAGGGTTGTTATCTATCTTTTTGAAAGTTGGTCTGGCCGGTTGCGGTGGCTCACGCCTGTAATCCCAGCACTTTGGGAGGCTGAGGTGGGCAGATCACGAGGTCAGGAAATCGAGACCATCCTGGCTAACACGGTGAAACCCCATCTCTACTGAAAATACAAAAAATTAGCCGGGTATGGTGGCGGGCGCCTGTAGTCCCAGCTACTCGGGAGGCTGAGGCAGGAGAATGACGTGAACCCAGGAGGCGGAGCTTGCAGTGAGCCGAGATCACGCCACTGCACTCCAGCCTAGGCAACAGAGCAAGACTCTGTCTCAAAAAAACAAACAAACAAAAAAAAGACAGTTGGTCTATGCTGGTGATTACTCAGCATAAACTAGATGATAATTTCCATTCTGAACTTGTTGACTTTAGAGTTGTCATTTAGGTCCAACTAGCTAATCACATTGTTAAAAACCTTCTTTTGAAGGTTTCCAGAGTATTTTATCTGCTTGTTCTTCCTGCTACTAAGAGTGGTATGTTAAATTTCCCAGTTTTAATTTGGGTTTGCTTTTTTGTCCTTTTAGTACTGACAACTTCTGCTTTATATATTTTGAAACTTTGTTATTAATGGCATACATAGAATTTGCATGTCTTCAAATGACTTAGTCACTGTGAAAATATCTCTAGTACTATTTCTTTCTGTGAGTCTCCTTTCTGTGATAACTACACCTACTTTCTTGTTTGCGTGGCATATGCTTTTCCAAATTTGCAGACTTTCTGTGTCTTAAAATGTGTCTCTTCTCAACATATTGGTAGGTTTGCTTAATAAACTTTCATTTGAGTTGTTTAGTACAATTACATTTAACATAATTACTGAATGCTTTCAGCAATATGTACTTGACTTGTATAGGGCGCTCCCTGTAAATAAACCTGAGAGGTATAGATTGATTGATGGGATATGGCTGTGCAGAAAATGTTGTATTAGCTGCCTAATTTTTGGCATATAATGCAGACAATATTTGGCATACAATATAGACATCTCATGACCTAAATAGCTCCTTTTTAAAATAAGTGATACCCCATAAGCAATGCAGAAGTCACATGGTAAATCTCAGTTAGGAAAGACCTAATGCAGCAAGGAAGAACTTGGGGAATGGGATAGGCAGTCCTCTAAAATTTCCTGTACCTTTGATATTAGTCAAGCTTGAGAATGGCTAACATTTCTGACTCATAAGTCTGGTTTAATAATCTGATCTTTTGTATTATCTCAATTCTTTAAGTGGTTGCCTGCTTCAACTACAACCACCACAATAATCCCTTTAGAAGGTAAGCTAGCCATGGGACTCCTCTTGTTACAGGCAGTTAAGACAGGCATGAGCAGGGCAGAAGAGGGCTCTCCCACACACTAGGAATGTTGGGTAATGGTTCAGCAATTATCACAATGCCTCTCTAAAAGTGATAAACTGTGTTTCCTGATGATCTGCACCTGTTGCACTAAAGTGTTAATTGCAGACACCAGGGAGAAGCAACTTCCTGGGCATGCGCATTAAGAGACAAAATTGCAGCGAATGACCTTCAGGGGCACTCCACAGGAAAAGGGAAGAAAGTCTCACATGGGCACGTGCACAGCTTCCTAAACACACTGCGGGTGCTCACCTCCCAAGAGTAAGGGGGGCACTGCGTGTGCGGGTAGCCCACTCTAAAGGAAGAATCATGGGAAAAGTGCCATCCTATAAAGTCCTAGCACCACTGTTAAACAGGGCACTTGACCTTGGTGCCAGGTTGGGTCTCTTCCAAGCATACTCTCATTTCCTTTCTTCCCTGCTCTAAAGCCTTTTAAATAAACTTCCACTCCTGCTCTGAAACTTGCCTTGGTCTTTTTCTGCCTTATCTCCTTCAGTTGAATTCTTTCTTCAGAGGAGGCAAGAACTGAGGTTGCTGCAGACCCGTACAGATTCGCTGCTGGTAACTCAAATACCTTCCACCCTTAACACTCTGACCAAATGGATTTGTATTCATTTAGAGTAAAAACCAAAATGCTATGATGATCTGAAACCATTATCAGACCTCCCCATTTGTCTTCTGTAGTCATCACTTTTTAGTTTCCCCCTTTGTCACTCTGCTCAATACCCGATGCCCTTCCTTGCTGTTCCAACTTGCCTGGCAGTTCTGTCACAGGTGTTTGAACTAGAGTGACTCCATCCTGAATAGGCTCAGGGCAAAATGAGGCTGAGGCCGGCTGGGCTGCATTCCCAGGAGGTTAGGCATTCTTAATTGCAGGATGGAAGGTCAGTGGGATTGGTATCACAAGATACGGGTTGTAAAGACCCTGCCGATAAAACAGGATGCTGTAAATAAGCCAGCCAAAACCTGCCAAAATCAAGATGGCAACAAGTGACCTCTGGTAGTCCTTACTGCTCATCATACGCCAATTATAATGGATTAGCAGCACTATGACAGTTTACAAATACCCTGGCAACATCCAGAAGTTACCCTATAAGGTCTAAAAGTGGGAGGAACCCTTAGTTCTGGGGAAATCCCGACTTCTTCTTGGGAAAACTCATGAATAATCCACCCTAGCATATTATCAAGAAATAACCGCAAAAATAGCCAACCAGCAGCCCTTGGGGCTGCTCCATGGAGTTGCCATTCTTTTGTTTCTTTACTTCTCTAATAATTTATGGACTCGCCCTAAATTCTTCCTTGTAAGAGATTCAAGAACTCTCTCTTGGGGTCTGGATTAAGACACATTTCCTGCAACCATCCTATCTCAGGGCCTTCGTTCTGACTTTTCCCTCCACAAGATACTCATGATGGCTGGCTCCTTTGTCTTTTTCAAGTTTTTACCTTCACAGACTCCCTATAAAGTCACCCCAACCCTCCAAGACTGCAGGCCACACATCCCGTTTACTCTGACTTGTCATCCTCCATAGCCCTCATCACCTTCTCAGACCCTATGCAATTCAGATTATTTTGTCTCTCCTCAACGTGATGTAAAGCTCCCTGAAAACAAAGGTGTTTTAACTATTTTGGTCACTGGGTACACAGTACTTTGTGAAATAGATGAATGAATCCTCCCCCTGGGTATTGTTCCACCTGAATTCCATGTGTACATTTAATAATTTAAGCTATGAATCATCTGCACGTGTTTAAATGTTTCATTGTGGCCTTGGTGGGTTCTTTTTATTACATTAGTCAGTGAAGAAGGCTTTATGGGATTTGTTGAGTTTTCCTCTATGGCTTAGTTCATGGTCAATGTTTTAAAATGGTTAAAGAGTATTTGAAATCAACAAGGGTGCCCAGTTTGTTGGGTGCGGCATATATTATCATATAGTTTGCTGTGAAATCCAAATGCTTTTTATTTTTTATCTGGTAGTGTATGACTCAATAGAACGACTGTTTCAGTTTAATAGTGTAACTCACTTTAGAATAACCCACAAACACTGTAAGTCTGAACCACAGAACGGAACCGTCTAGGTGCAGTGAGCATTCTAATCAGAAAAGTCACATTGCAGAACTGCCTACCACAAGCTCTTTTGTTAATTTTATCACTGAGCCGTATGAAGACTGGCTATTAAAAATAATGAGTGCAATAGTGGCTTGTTAGAATAACAGGTTAAAAAAGGTCCCTCACTGCTAACTTCTCCCTATCCCTACATAAACAAGGTTAAAGACTTTATCTAGCAAGGCCCTAGGCTGGTGCCTGAGGCTTACCTCTGAAATAGTATGTCTGGTCACTAGGTTAGAGGATGGTTCATGGTAAGGACAAAATTTTGCCCCTGGAGTAGTCACATCCACATTGTGACGCACCTTGAGTAAACTCTTCCTGCAAGATGTGGTGGAGTGCCTAAAAAGACAGATGGAACTTCATTAAGCTTAGAAACTAGGTTAGTACAACTGTTTTGTGCCCGATGACTAATAAATCACAGATAATACATTTAAAAAATGATAATACATATCTGTATGTACAGCCACATTTATAATGAAATGTATTTTCACTATCACTAGCTGGTAAGGCTGCAGGGAGCGGCTGAACGATACCCACCTAAAACGTAGATAATCTAGTAGTTTCTAGATATAACTTGGATGCTGTGTATAAGCAAATTGGCTTAGGTCAGTTTCCAACACCAAGTTATGATTGACTATTTGTCAGTTTCTTTTTATAGATAAAAGTTTTGGGTCATGTAATTATAGACAGTATTGGTAGGTGGACACAAGTTCTTGATTGTTGTATCTTATTAATAAGGAATATTATTGTCTCTTTTAATGTTTTCACCTTAAGTGTATCTTGGCTGATACATACAACTTATACATATAATTATGCATGTTACACAGTACTTGCTTAGTGTATGTTCCTATCCCATACTTTTAGATTGGCTTCTATTATAAAATATATAATAATGAAAAGAAGAGATTAAACAGCCACAAAAACTTACATTTTAAGATTATGCCATTTCTTTCAGATCTTTATTTCTCAAAAGGATCAAAAGCCTTCAACAGAAATTTTTTAAATGCCAAGCTATCAAATAAAAATACAATATATACTAGAAGAGTCAAAAAAGGTTATCATAATCCTTTGTTATTTTGTTTTGTTTGGACAAATTATAACAGAGAATTAGACACTGGGAATCTAAAAATACAAGGATACTTCTCAAGTCAGTATTTTAGGTACAGGACACAGCTCGAGTGGTATCAAGATAAAGAGTGTGGGAAAACCCAAAACTGTGCCAAGCAGCAGAATTAAAAGGAGTTTGTAAAGAGAAGAAAAAGGCTGTATCCTTTTACTAAACTATGTACGTTCTGGCACCTGTAAACCGAACGCAAACGTTCCCAAATTCTGAAATTGCGACTTAAAAAAAAGTAATGGTGATAGATAAATCATATGTCAGAGTGAAACTTTAAAATACATTTCGTATTTCCAGCATCATGAAAATAAATCCCTTTGTAGGCAATTATCCTAAAATATTTTTATCAGAAATATAGCTCTAGTAACAAATAACCATTTGACAGTTATATAAACATGTAACAGATATGCTCTACATGTGTAATTTAAGTACATTACTATGAGCATTCTTTACGGGTATACATCATACAAAAATAAATCATTTTCATATTTTTTAAATGTTGGCACTGTAAGTTCACACGAATGAGCTACTCAGTCAGTCTCCCCATTTCGGGAAGCCTTTGCATGGAAGGACAGCGTCTCTGTGAAGTTCTCCGGGAAGTCAAGGAGGTGCTGATGGGGACCGAAGGCTGCCTCAGCTCAGGAGAGCCCACAGGCAACAGGGCAGTTCGGGGAGAGTCATAGGCACAGGAAGGGCGTAGGTGGAAGACATGTAAAACCAATCAGGAAGTTTTGTTATACTCTTAAAGGATCCAATCCCCACTCCATCTCCTCCAAGAAATGCTAAAAGAAAATTTTCTTTTGAAAATTTAAAGTCCCGGCACTAGTAAAACTGACTTCTAGTACTTTCACTCAAAAAAGCTTAATTCTCTTTAATTTCTGATTTTATGACCAAATATCCTGAAGATAGCGTTTTTCTTCTTTTAAAGTGGCCAGGGTTTTCATTGCTTCTAGTTTTTCAACTCCAATCTCTTTGCTTATTATTTCCACAAGGGCATCATGTACATCCTTGGCCATATTCTTAGCATCTCTAAAAAAGAAAATAAGATGATTGTTTACAAGCAGGCATTTTTACTAAATCCTCCTTAATTCACAAGTCTAATTCCCTTTGACTGTACCACCATAGTTCTTCCCTCCCTCTTCTTGGAACATCTCACATAGATCTCCCAGCCTCCAGGCCAGGCCTTCATCTACGGTGACTGTTGTAGGAGGCAGAGCTGACCACACGGTTCTACAGATCCCAATCCTCCATAGGCTCCAGGTCCCAACAGTAGGCCAACAATTTCCTAGGTGTCAAACAAGCATCTGAGGCCCCGCCTGGTTCCGGCCCACCTGCTGGCTCATCCCTCATTCCCTGCCTTCCACTCTCAAAGCACACAGTAGACTCGTACTCCTGAAGGGAACCAGATCCCTTGCACACTTCTAGGTTTTTATGCACATATAATTAGTAACAGACACCTTTATCGAGGACTTAGTATGTGCCAGGTCCTTTTGAAGTGCTTCTACATCTTAACTCTTCAGTTTACAAGACACGGGAGGCACCCCTCCTGGGTGCTCTTGCAGTGCTCTCTGGAACACTTCCGACGTTAGAAATGTGTTTATGTGCAGCTTTCTCGCCAGGGAGTAAGTTGTCTGAGGGTAGGAAGTGTAACTCACTTATCCTCTGATACAGTTTGGACGTGTGCCCTCTCCAAATCTTTATGTTAAAACGTGGTTCCCAGCGTTAGAAGTGGGGCTTGGTGGGAGGCGTCTGAGTCATGGGGGCAGATCCCTCATGAACGGCTTGTTGCTATGCTCGCTGTAATGAGTGAGTTCTCCCTCTACGTTCCTGAGCGATCTGGCTGAGAGTGTGGCACCTCTCCCTACCTCTTGCTTCCTCTCTTGCCATGTGAGGTGCCGCTCCCCCTGTCTTCTGTCAGAGTGGAAGCTTCCTGGGCACCAGAAGCAGGTGCTGGCACCATGTTTCCTGTACAGCCTAAACCATGAGCTCATTAGATCTTTTTTCTTTAGTCTCAGGTATTCCTTTATAGCAACACAAAAACCGAAACATCCTCGTATCTATCGACATCTGAATGTGCCCAAGCACTCACCCAGCACTTGGGTGTTTGCTGAATGAAGCAAAGTGTCAGACAAGATTCCACTATGTTAGGAAAATGTCCTGGCCCCTCACAGTGAAATTTCTTGAGAGGTGTCTGTGGTGGCTGTCTCACCTTTCTCAAGAGGCTCTCCCCTCCACTTCTCCCAGGAAATTACACCCCACGAGTCTGCTCCACTGTCTTCTCACTTGACACATCAGCAGTACAGGCTCCCTCCCTGAGACAGTACCCTCTTGGCTTTGGGACAATTTTGCTTCTTTGGTGGCTGTTCCTTCTGTCTACTTCATTCCCGCTTCCCTGATGGGCCGTCAATGTTCAAGTGACCCAGGGTTTCCTTCTGAGCCCTCTGACCACTGCTATTAATGCTTCCAAGTGCATTTCACCAATGTGAAAAGTAAAGCACCAATGATTGGGAGGAGTTATTTCTGGAATAATGTTTTAAAAGAGTCTGGACATTTAAGATATTCTCCAAGTTCTCAATTACCAGTTATCTGTGATCTGTACAATTAACTCTGCCTCTACTATTTAGAAGTACATCTCTAAAACTCTGTATTTGACCACCAATGGCACTGTCCTCGCCAAACAAAATGCAGACTAAATACTTCATTAAAAGCTAAGGAAAATGTAAACCAAAACAATGTCTAGAATGTTTGCCCTTTATCAACCTAAAGCAATGTTTTTCAATTAGGAGTCAAAATCTATTGAAAGGACATGAAATCAACTTAGTAGCCAAAGCTAGCTTTTAAAGCAAACTAAATACAATGGAAAAGAAATGATCAGAATGTGTTATAAAAACTAAACAGAAAATGTTAAGTTTTGTTTCATGAAACTTGTTTCAATTGTATTTATACATATGTTCTGGGTCAGGATGCCAGTATTTTGTCTTCTGCATTACAGTTGAAAAAAACAAAAGAACCCGACTCAGAGAATGTGTTGAATCCCAGGAACGTATTTGGATGAAAAAGTGAATTTCTTACTTCAAAAATTCTTTTTCACTAGCAGAAATTTTTTGAGTCTCATTAAAATAAGCAAATAAGTGTTAAACAATTTTTCTACGGCAATTATGGGTTTCTGTAACAGATTTTGCCTCAGAAAGTAGATCAAATTTAGTAACACAGAATGTTTCTGGGTTTTTGTCAACTTTATCACCACAAATTATGCCTAGAAGAGAAAGAATCCTAGTATCCACATTCTCAGGGTCAAAATCATACTTTTTCTTTCTTAGTTATTAACAGTTCAAAAAGCACAAATCACCTATTCTTATATACAACAAAATCAATCTGGAGATTTCAATTCACATGATTAATGTTGTAACATGAGTGTAATTTTCAGACGTGAAAAACAGGTATGTAAATGGTACCAAGAAGGTACAATGCAAGCATTAACTTTCACCACTATTTACCTGATAATAACAACTTCTGGGCTAGTAAATATGTCAAAATCATTTCAGAACTGTTATTTCTATTCCTGTACTTAAGAATCAAATGTCTTATCCCTACATATCTAGATTATTGGCTTCTCAGTCCTTTGTTTCTTCTATAGACATCACCAATGGCCCTCTCCTACCCGACTTAGGCACGATAACGACTCACCCACACACATAAATACAGCCGTTCTCGTGGAGAAGGATTCTCACCACCTCCTGGCCATGAAGCTGGATGTTGTCTTGCACATACTTTGCTGTGGCTTCCTCCTCCCCAACAGGAGCATCTCTTGAGAAGGAAACCTTTAGATGAGTTAAGATTCCATGCTTAAGGAAATGTCTGAGCTCTTTTCTGAAATATAATATATAATGGATCACTAAAAGGTTGTCAAGTTGAAAAAGTCTGAGAATTAGAATTGTACACTCAGTGGTTGAGTACAATACTGGGATTGTACAATACCTGAATAGATAATCCCTATCCTTATGCCTGCAGCCAAAAAACAACCACACTGCTCCAAAATTTCCATCTGGATGTTGTTCTTGGAGTTTCTCTCTAAGTAGGAAAAAAAAAAGTTTAGGTGTGTGATATAAGGAATATGTAAAACTAATCTCTTTCATTAGGAACTATCACCAACAAACTCAGACAGATTTGTAAAATCCACCTCTGCAGCTGAACATTCAATCATTTAATTAGCGTTTTACTCTCCACATGCTGTCATGGCCACTCCAGCAGGCACCACGCTAGGCAAGTGTGTGGAGAAGCAGCTACATACGACGTACACAAAATGAGGACAATTCAAAGTATCACACTGTGAGATCCAGAGAGAGTTCTACATTCAATAATATTAACAGCAATTTTATGAATAAATGAACTCTTACTATGGAAAAGTGGCACAGGGCTGTGAAAGGTAGAATGTGTAAAGTGTCGATGAAACGATGAACACACTGATGAGACAGAGACATCTGTGATTACGCTTTTGCTTCCTTAAGGAAAAACTTAAAACGAAGTAAAATAACTGTCCAAAGGATAGGACTCTACTGAGGAATAGTACCCAAGACTTGCGCATTAGTTCTCAAATATAAGCAGAAGCACAATTTTATTTTACTTATTTCATATCAAATAATTCTGTTCTGATATAAAGTTATACTTATTAATATTCTGTTGAAAATTACTGATGTTTGAGTTTAATGTTGAAACTTTTACTGTAATTGGATCTGTTACTACCAATTTTATCCAATTAAGGGATAGATACAACAGCTGTATATCATCACAGTACGAAGGTAGGCCCAATATTTGTCCCCAACCACATATGATATAAACCACACCGTAGCTGAGAAAGGAAATACTAAAAGTGCCACAGTTAAAAAAGGAAGTTCTAGTACAAAGCAAAATCTCTACTACATTGTGTGTTTCCTTTTCCCATGCTGACAAATTATGTTATCACACACTGAATAATAAATTTTAAATAAAAATTTTACAATCAAAGTCCAATTATCCTAAAAACGACTAAAGAATCCAAAACAGTTCCTCAGGAATACATTTTCCCATTAGCCAAAAAAAGAACATACCTATGTTGTAGGAACCCAATAAACGGTGCTATGCCAGTTCCTGGACCCACCATTATGATGGGGATTGAGGGGTCATTTGGTAAGTGGAAATAATTTGTTGTTCGAGGAGAGATGGATATCTGAAATATCAAATCAAATGTGGTAAGCATGAAAGAAAACCTAGGAAAGAGTATACAACCAATATGACCTTTGCTAAACAAATCAGAAAGGGAAAATTTCCATCAAAGAAACATCACTAAATAGCAGCATTAGATTTTACTGAAACCATGAGCACATTTGTCACTACAGGAAGAGTTTGTCTTACAAATTTTTCTTTTCTATTGAAATAAAAAATGTTTTAAAAAATGATAGGCATTGTGTCTCTGAGGTAGAACACTAAATAGACAATGATCAAATCATGTTTCTTGGTCCATGGATAAGATTTGCTTTCTGGTGGGCAGACAACAGTATATATTATGGAGAAAGGTACCCTAAATATGAAGACAATAAAGATTAGCATCACGATGAGGTTGAAAAATTTTAAATAAAAGTCAGGCACCTTAAAAAGAAATTAAGGGGCTGCTCCAAATATTCTAGATAATGGTGCTATATTTGCTATTCTGGGTTCAATACTACCCAGAATTATTTTTGTCATAACTAAACAAATCATAAAATTAACAAAATCTTTTTGTTAAAATTTCAAAATATATTTCTGAATCAATCTGAGTATGTTTCACTTCCAGTTTCACTGACATATGCAAAAGTCATAGTGAGTGGTACCGAGGTTTAGGAATGACAGGATTCCCCTCCACCTTGCCTGGTGGTGTAATTGTATACATTTTAACTTTTAACTCAAGGACAACTGTAGAAGTAATGAAGAGCCTGAACACCATACCTTTTAAATGAAGGAATGGCAGAGCTGTGTCTTATTATTGCTCTTACTTGGGAATGAAACTAGTTAACATTACATTTGCCTTATCGCTTCATTCATTTAACAGATTTACTGAAAGTATTCACTATGACAGGCATTAGGGATACAGAAATGAACAAAACAACATCCCTGTCTTTATGGAACTGACATTCTAGTGAGAGAAAAAGAAAATAAACATACACATTACCACGTGTATCCACAGAATGATGGGTAATGACTTCCTAGTGTCTTAGGAAGCAAAATGACACAGGGTAAGGAAATGATGGGTGTGGCAGTGAGCTTATAGTTCAAACACCAATGCCAAAGAAGGCCCATGTCTACAGCGAGACCTCTGACCACGATCTGAATCAAGCTAGTTAGCCATGCCACAGCATATTCCTGGCAGAAAAGACAACACATGTGCAAAGATCCTGTGACAACAGCATACTTTCTATGTTTTGGGGCTCTCTTCCTCGAAGGCTGTGGTGCTGCTTCACCTGGGGGTCTATGTGGAGAGAGTATCATGGCAGATGGGAAGAAGAGAGACAGTCTATGCCACACCCACAGGCTCAGTGCTCCTGCTTAGATGTGGCAGATGTCCTTCACACAGCCAGGCTGAACACCAGTGGCAGGGTTAATCTGTGAACAACTGTACTATCTGCCATAGTAAGGCAGAGCATGTGATAGGTCTTGCAAAGGTCAACATTCTCTATAATTTGTAATAAAACATGGCACAAGCACAGGGAATTTCAGATAGTTTTAAATTATATCCTTCACATCTGCACTTCTACTGCATATAGAGTGGATAGTCAATAAAAATCTGTTAAAATGGGGAAGGAAGGAGGAAGACAGGGAGGGAGAAAAGGAGGAGTAGGTGAAAGGCACCCATGCTTAGTGTTTATGATACATGATGGACACACATTGTTTTTAACGTTCTGGAGATCATCTGCTATCTTTATACAATCACCATGTGACATATACTTGTATATCAGTACTATAATATTTCTTCTCAAAAAATAAAGTTTCTATAAGGTTTCTAATATTTAGATGTATAATGAATATATGATGTATAGTGAACACAGTAAAGCGCCTCTCTGTTCCAGGCAGCAGACTGGAAAAATATCAAGTTAAAGGGCAACTTCAAGCAGCACTCATCCCTCATCCTCTCAAGTATATCCCATGAAGTCCTAATTCCCCCTAAGGTCTATGAACATTTCGCCTCTAATAACTTCAAGAAACCAAACTTGTCCTAAGACAACACTCCAAGTGAATCACTGATTTCTTCCTTACCATGAAGAAAGAGGACTTCATGATAAAGCCTGAAATGTTGCTTTATTTCAACCATTCTTGTGGACAACTTTAAATTGTTCCCTACACACATGGTCTCAAAATTCTGGTGAGTGCCATACCAAAACATAAAAACAGGTGTCACTAAGTCCAGGTGTAAAGTGTCCACAATCTGTTGAGAAAATCACATAACCTTTTACTCCTAGGTGTGGTAAAAGTATTTACCGCCATAATGTCTTCTCAATAATGGCACAAATTCAGATGTCAGACACCACAGATAACAAAAGGAGAGAAACAGGGACGCGGGAATCCTACTAGCCAAAATTAGACAATATAAAATTAGTCCTTAGTTGCCCTCAGACTCCCATGGTAGAACTACTTATTTGAGAGGCAGTATACACCTTAAACATAAAATGAGACTGTCTCTCATCACCCCCTTAAATACTTCTAGACTCTTCACCACCCCTCCCTAGGCCGATGCACCAAGAGTATCAACATAAAAGGTCTTCTTTTCCATGAATAGGACAAGCAAAGACCGTACTATATAAAATTCATGCTTGACATATTCAGAAAATACACACACTAGTTAGAGAGTAAACAGTTTCTGCTCTTGCAATAGAGATTTTAAAATTCAAGAACAGCATAAATGTTCTTATGATAGTAATGAATGATGTGGGTAAGACATTGTTTTTTTCTAATCAAACAAAGAGTATGAGTTAACAATGTTGAAGTGAAGGTACTAATTTCTTACCTTAGGAGCCACGGCTTTCCTGCTGTCTTCATGGGATGCATATGTGTTTGGCTGAAGAACGGAAGCAACCAACAAGGCCAGCCAGCCTGTGCACACTCCCTTCCGCAGAACCTCTGTTGGGGCAGTAGACAGAAATTCCACAACGTTGAAGACAAAATGGAGCTTCCCCGGGTGAAATAAACTTGAGCTGCAAAGATACACAGACAAGTTTTGAACTCGGTATCAGTACGACTACACACATGGGTCAAACCAATCCTTTTTTCACTCAGTTTAGAAATATTTCCTTATAGGCTCTAACCAACTTCCAAATCCTCATAGAGGAAAGCTATTATTACGTAATTAAAAACGGCCCCCAACCCTCACACTCTCACACCCTATATTTTGTGTTACTCAAGAAAGTTTCCAATTTTATTTGCTTGCACTAGGACTAGATGAGACTTATAAAAAGTAATATGCCCTAAGGATCTTCATGTAAAAGACTCACTCAGTCAATATTATAAAGACATTTTACCATGTGAAGAAATGGGGATAAATTCTAACAAATATCCATACATTATCTACCGGTAAGATCACAAAACTTGAAAGTGACTGAAGTATACACCCAGAAAAGAGAAAACTAAAAATTCAAAGTAAAAACATCTTTAAAAGACATCCCTACAAAAACAGATTTCTTTTCACATTACAGGGTATATAATGCGAAAGAACTTGAGTTCATTCTTAATTCCTTTTTCAACCAAAAGAATGGCACACTTTCTTGTATTATTAATGAAAGGCAAAACAGAGAGCCAGATGGGGAAACAGCAGAGGCTATGCAATGGAACGAAGGCCAGAGGGAGAATCCTACAAGCCAGTGCTCATCAAATGTTTTTTGTTTTTGTTTTTTGCGACGGGGTCTCACTCTGTTGCCCAGGCTCAAGTGCAGTGGCGCAATCTCGGCTCACTGCAATCTCCACCTCCCGGGTTCACGCTACTCTCCCACCTCAGCCTCCTGAGTAGCTGGCGCCCGCCAACACGCCCGGCTAATTTTGTTTTTGTATTTTTAGTACAGACGGGGTTTCACAGTGTTAGCCAGGATAGTCTTCATCTCCTGACCTTGTGATCTGCCAGCCTCAGCCTCCCGAAGTGCTGGGATTACAGGCATGAGCCACCATACCCAGCCTCATCAAATGTTTTATAGTGGAACTTTTCTGTCTCTCCTACCTTCTGCTGCCATTCAGTGACGGGGGCTGGGCACACCAAAAGAGGAAGCATGTGGAGGAGCCTGAGACTCCTAAGTGGGCAAACAGTGCTGGGCTGTCAGGAGCCACCCAAGACGTTAAATTCTATGACGTCCCAGAGGACAGGAGCTCTGTGATTCTTCTTCTGCTTTATCATGCCTGGTACTGTCTTCCATAAATCAGCTAAGTTTTCACTGAATAAATTAGTAAACTCTAAGGATTTGGAAGTCTGAGTGCCAAAAGATGTTGAACAATGATGCTATATATTATGTGAATGAATATTAGTACCTTGCACACGAATATGGTCTGGGTTGGAGTTTAGGAAGATGTTCTAGAAAAAAATAAAAACAAGCAATTATTAATTCACTACTACTGAAAATAACCTTACCTAAAAAATAAAAAATCCACATCTTATTTAGAATACTCAAAATAAATCATGTTCTAGTTTTAAATCATAGTTAAGAGCATGTATAAATTCTTTGTGTTCAAGTAAAATATTACTATTTTTTTCTTCAATTCGTAAAGTTAAAAACGAGATAAGATGCATTTCCTTACTCATAGGTCAGTATTTCTATCCAAATGGTAAATTTTGAAAGCAAAGGCTCCTAGGAACGGGTCCATGAGGTGGCTTCAGAGGCGAGGAGTCAGTCAACTCTTACCAGGCATGTGCAGTTTTCTGCAGGAAGGTGTCCCGTTTTCAGATTTAAAATAAAGTCATGATCCCAAAAAGATTAAAGGCTACTCTTTCAAGAATTACTGAAAATACTTAGGCTTGAAGATTTTCCATCTTACATTTAAAATAATTAAAGTGTTTGGTTTTTAAAAAATTATAAAAAAAATTCAGTGATTTCAAAATACACAGGTATTCTTTCAAAAGCAGGTTAAATAATCTGTATTTAAATATTGAACTATCCACTAATAAACTTCGAAACGTTTCATGTTTTGGTATGTTTTATGTTTAGCAGTTACTTAACTGAAAATTTGAAAAGGTCTATGTATAATGGCTTAGAGTTTTAAACATCAAAATAAGGTTTAGTAGGGTGTTCGACTTAATATTAAGCTTTAGATATTTTAATTTTTCTTAAGGAAATTAGAAAATAATATAATTTTTTATAAGTCCCAATGACTTTAATTTTTTTATATAACTATGTAACATGTGGTATTGTTACAAACATTCTAAAAGGCAACAAAAAATCTACGAAAAGAATTGAAATAAAATAGTATATGATAAGAGAACTTTCCACTACTACTTAGAACTCCCCACCCTGTGTTCTGTCATCCTAATCCTGCTGTGGTTCCAAAGACTTCACTGGAGAGGGTGAGAGGGCCAGCCTAGGACAGGATGGCGAGAAGAGCGGCCTCATTCAGCAACATGGTCTTACCATTTTGGGGAGGTCCTAAGTGGAAAGAACACTAAGAAAAAGGAGGAGAAATCAGGCCCTGACTTGCAGAGGAGGGTGCCTTTAATTGTACTGGGCATCGAAAAAAGGATCTTTTAGCCTAAATGTCTAAAAATGGCTTTCTATTAAAAAGTTACCTTTTCAAAGCTAATGAACATCATATTGATTGATAGAGGTTGATGCAGTCTGTGCTGTGTGCAGAATGCAGAAATGCCATCTGAGGCAGTCAGATCGAGGGTCCTTCAAGAGCAAAGGGCCTATGTCGTCGCTTTTAGGAGGTCACAAGTGGAAAGAACACTAAGAAAAAGGAGGAGAAATCAGGCCCTGACTTGCAGAGGAGGAGTGCTAATTATCTGGGCATGAAAAGGATCTTGTTATTTCAAGAGTAAAAAGGACAATACACATTTTGGGTGTCACCAAAAGAAAAATGCAAATGTTAAGGCATGACTACTTACCACTATGGGAAAGGAGATGACAAAATTATAAGCACAGGAAAGTAATAAAGGCTTTGAAGTCCTCTAAAGCACCCAGTCTTCACCCCAGTAAGCATTTCAATCCCTTCTGAGAGCCACAGAGACGCCCCCTGGACATCGACTGCTCAGGGGAAGCGGCAGAGTCTCTTCTCATTGGAAGTATGAGGACTGCAAAGTCTCTGGGCAAAAATGGGTTACCTTTCATCCGAAATGGGATGGTTCTCTGCCTGGCAGTGCCATGAATATGTGGAGACTGGCACTGGGGCGACGCAAACCCCTTTTGCTCTTGAAGGACCCTCGATCTGGACTGGCTCAGATGAGGCATTTCTACATTCCGATCTGGACTGGCTCAGATGGGGGCATTTCTGCATTCTGCACACAGCACAGACTGCATCAACCTCTATCAATTCAATATGATGTTCATTAGCTTTGAAAAAGGTAACTTTTTAATAGAAAGCTCATTTTTAGACATTTAGCTAAACAACCTTTCTGAAAAAAGTTAAATTAGAAAAGATGCTCAACTCTGAGGCAAAAAAAGAGAATAACAAGTGACTCTACCAGGAGAGAAAATGATAGTGACACTGCTGGAAGGAAAAAAAAAGAAAAACCAAAAGTTTGGAAGGGAAATTATGTGACTTCTGGAAGGGCACACAGATGTCACAGCACCCTGAGAACAAGATACAAGATGTTTACTTACCAATCACCACCATTCATTTAGATGTATTCTTTATGCATAGAATACAAAGGGTAAGACAAGAGCAGCAAATTTTCTTTACTACAGAAAGGTGGCCCGCCTGTCAGTGCACGAACAGCCACCACGGTGCTTGTGAAAGTGACTACTCACCAAGCAGGAGACTGAGCGGTGGCTGGCAAGAAGGGAAAGCGAGGAGGAGATCCAACAAGCAGGCGCAGGCATCTCGTACAAAGCGGCTATAATCGGCTGCCCCTTGTTTACTGCACAGCTCCTGTAGCCTGCGCTTTTCAGCACTGTCACTGGTATAGTCCACAAGGGCTCGCAAAAATGCCTACAAAAAGGAGACCGCGTTAAATTATGACACAATTTGTGGGTAGAGCTATTAGAATACTCAGTTCAGTGTCTGCCTGGGGATGCGCCCAATTACCCAAGAAAAAAATGAGAAAGCCGCTAGGAGCTATTGTCAGGAGGAGGGAACTTAATTTACCATTTGCTTTAATGTTGACCTGTTAGAAAAATTTCACAATGTAAATAAATAAATAAAAATAATAAAATTCTGAATCCCAATTTTCAAAGTCTAAACTCCTGAACAAAACATCAAACTTGCTAATAAGAATTTTTTTTTATTTCAATGCAACTACAAGCTATTAATTACATGCATACATAGCTTATTTCTCAAGGGCTCCTTAGGAACAAAGCACTTCAGTTATTATTCACATCAAATGTTATGTGAAATGCTAATGGGTACTGCTACTTTAAATTCCATGGCTCAAGACGATTGTGTCCTGGACTTCCTTAACAGGGAGGACAAAATCACTGTTCCCGAAGGAGTCACAGGTTTCCAAAGGTTTAGCTGAAGAATCTCTGTCTAAAACACCAAGACACTAACAAATTACACCAAATGCCAAACCCAGTGTCGAACAAAAACAAGGACTCAGGAAACGCTGCTGAATGGACACCCCAAATCTCTGCTTAGACTTTTTGGACGATAATAAAAAAATCTACCAGTAACAGTTTGTAAATTCTAAAGCCAATACAATCTTCTAAATTAAAAGCTAAAACAGTGACAATTTTAAATCCTTTAACATACTTTTTTCACTTCAGAACTATGAAAACTTTATGGTACTAAAATAGGAAATACTGCACTATTTTTGGAGAACAAGCTGACAAACACTGTTACAATTTAAAATGTAAATATTTTTAAAACAGCAATTCTACTCCAAGGAATTTGTTTTACAAATATACTTCAAGTAAGTGTCCAAACATTAATACAAGAAAGTTTGCCTTTCTTTTTTAATAGTGAAAAAGCAAAAATGACTCCATTGCCCATAATTATATCAACAAATAATGGTGTATCCATAGTATCCATTAAAACTCTTTCCATCCTGAAATATACAGATTCTTGATTTAAGTTAAAAAGGCAAGTTATAGAACAGCACATATAATATGGATCCCCATATTTTCCTCAGGAAAGCAAAATTCAAGTGTTAACTCTGAGGGTTTGATTATAAAATACTTTGGTTTCCTAGGTTATTTCTGTATCCAGAATTTTTCCAATGAGCATACTATTTTTGAAAAAAAAAAAAAACCCAGATATACATATCTATACACACAAATATATATACACACATACATACACACACACACTTTACACATATTTTAAAAGCAGTAGAGCTGAACCAAAATTGTGACTTATTCGGTAAGCTTTCATCACAGTAAATTAATTCTAAATTTACTCAAATTACATCTCGAGCTGATTACCAGGAAAGGAAGATAGAAAAAAAAAAATATATATATATATATATACACACACACACATATATTTAGAGACAGCTGAGCCTCTCTCTAAAGTAGTTTACTCATCCAAGACTAGAAATGCGATAAACACATTAATGAATGACACGAAAACCACACTGAAGAGATAGTGGCCTAATTACAACACTCTCTATGCTCACTGATGATACAAGTGTGGCAACGGACATGTGAAAAATTTTAGCCATTAATGGCCACTTCAGGGAACTGGTTAGAAGAAATCAGTTACAAGTAGTTTTAAAAAAACAGTTCCTGGTACAATACTGACATCTAGTGGATCGTTCTACCTCCAAGTTCATCTAAAAATTGATTATTAGCTACCAAAACCCTTCCAATTTTCCTGAAGCATTCTGTTACAGCAATAAATAGTTACATAGTATTACACAAAGGAGATCTTAACAACTGCAGGAAGTTGCAAGTGGTGGTGGTGGGGAATCCTAAGCTCTCATTAGCTTCCTGTCACCAATTAAAGCAGCAGCAGCAACGTGTAGCTGGGTAACACAAGGTCAACTGCAGTCACCTCCATCACTGTGGAATGTGCTACACAGTTAATGACTAGTAAAAATAAGACTAAGAAAAAGCCCTATTTAAACAACTTCATTTCAAACAAAAATTTAAATGCAAATACAACATAAAAAGATTTGTATATGATAGTTACGATGATAGCACATACCTCTGGGAACTAATACTAAAAACATGTTATCAAGATCGTATTTTTTAAGACTGCAAAGGGCAGATTCTAGATTTGTTTAATCAATCCTAAACAAAGTTAAGCATATTTTAAAATAGTTACCTGAAGAAGAGAGAAAAAAGTACCTTTTTAGGAATTGCTCGGATTTCAAGACACCAGGTGAAAATGAACTGGACAGAACATCTTGCAGGTATATGCTGGGGTAAGGCAGCTCCTTTTCAGGTAAAGACAAGAAACGGGTTCATGACATAGAAGATAAAGAATAAAATGTTTTACACATTCCCCAAAACACAATTACTGTAGTACTTTACAGCACATCAAAGTGCAATACGACTTGTGGCAATGTTTATTCAGTCAAAAAAATTCCCCAAAATGAATACAGTAAACAAAACTCCACCTTACAAAAAAATAAAAATAAAAGACTATAAATTCAAGATAGGCCATATAAAAGAAAGGAAAATTATTTAAAATTAAGAAACAAAAAAGCTAAAAAGATAGCAGTAATCCATTAGCATTATTATTCTCAAAAAATCAATTTAGGACTTATTCAAGATTCTAAGTAAATAATATATTTATATTTTGAAAAATAGATAACTTAATTATGGATAAAGCAATTATTTTATATAATAAATGAGCAAAAACAAACATACTATGAGAAGTAAATATAATAGGAAAAGAATTTTTTTAAAAAACCTAGGCCAATGCTTCTCGAAAACTACATTTACACTCATTTTTCATGACCACAAACGTCCAATAATCGGAACATCCATGATCTTCTTATTCAGTGTAATTAACATGAAAGTTAAGAAACTAGCAATACCAGCGTATGCCTGTGTTCCCGGACCCTGATGCACAGCTGAGCCCCAGGCATCTGTGCGGCCACCACACAGGACACTGAACCTTAGAACCACACTCTCACCATCAGCTCCAGTCACTGGCCCACAACACCCTAACGTCACAGCCACAGGGCTGTACCTTTCTTCTTTGTGTCTGTCTTTATTTTCAAAAGGACGTAGTGCTCTCTTTTATCTTCAAGCTGCAGTCTTTGGAGTAGGCTTTGTACCTCAGAATCACTGTTAGGACAGATTACACTGAAGGCATCTCCAGGCTGATAGGAAAAGTCTGTTTTCTAGGGAAGAGCCAAAATGAAAAAACAAAACAAAACAAAACAAAAAAATCCCATTATATGTGTTACATAGTTTAAGCTACAGGGGAACAAAAATGTAGTTTTCAATATCATGATTTTAATATATGAACTCAGAAAGAAAATAGAATTTCAAAAAAAAAACAACACGATTTTAAAAAGTAAGCCCAACTAACCAAATAAACATATTTTCATTATTAGCAGTTACTATTAAAAAGCAATCTGGCAGTTATCCAGTGTTTTGCCTTTTATCATTGCATACTTAAAGAATGGAAATCAGACCTTCCTTGTTCTCCACAAAGTAAGGTCCTATGGCGTTTTCAATAACCCCATGTAATATAAAAATCCCTCTTACAAAAACACAGATGTACACACACACGAAAACATACATTATGACCCAAAGAAATTAATTATGATCAAAAGCATTGGTTTTCAATTTTCTTCTCCTTACTTCACTCTTTTCCTTTAGGGGACAGGAAAGAGTACTTTATTTCCTTAAGTTTAAAACATTACACCATCTGGCTTGATACTGGCTGTGAGCAAACATGGGCTGAAAAGGCCACCACTTCCCAAGTCAAGTCTATTACTAGGCCCATTGTCTCTAAGCCCTAGAGTGATACAGATGCAGGCTATGGCTCTGGGAAGGAGCCTCTCACAATGACACAAGCTCACATTTCTTGCCAGCAAGGGCGACAGACTAGATTAAGCACAGACCAAACCTTGCCTCTTTATGACAAAAATGTAAAACACCAGAACAAAAAATATTTTGGTGTACATAGTATTAATATTTATAGATGCAAAACCATTTAGTTTTGACACATTATATTTCTTTTTTTCTGTTAGGAAGTTCAATTAAATCTACATAGACGGCCTTAATGTGCCCTTGCTTTTCTGAAAGAACCCACTTAACCTCTCAAGACTTTCACAAAATAAAGGGTTCAGCTAAATGACTTTGAAAAGGTGCTCAAGCACTTATTTTAGGATTGTCAGTCAGTTTCTTAACCTAAGGTCAATGGATTCCAGCAGGGTGTGGAGGGTGGCCAAGGGGCCCATGGACGGGGTGCATAGAGGCACATCTCAGACTAAAACTGTATATAAATGTTTCTATATACAGTGGGCTCTCCATACCCTCAGGTTCTCCATCCTCAGAATCAACCAACCCTGGATGGAAAATATTTGGGAGGAAAAAAACAATAAAAAATAACAGTAAAAATAATGTAAACTTAAAAATACAGTATAGCAACTACTTACATTGTGGTTACTGTAAGTAATCAACAGATGACTTAAAGTATAGGGGAGGATGTGCACAGATTACATATAAATACTATAACATTTTATATAAGGGATTTGAGCTTTGAGGATCTGGATATCTGAAAGGGGTCCTGGAACAAATCCTTCAAAGATACTAAGGGACAAGTGTAATCATTTTTCGGTAGACCTCTCGTTATATAACCAAGCACCACGCAGCTCAGCGTATGTAACCAAGCACCACGCAGCTTAGCGTACGTAACCAAGCACCACACATCTTTCTGCACATCTTGACAATATTACTGTGCTGAGAAATAAATTTTGCAACTTACTGAAATGTCCAATTCTACCAGCAGAGTGGTTTTTATGGCATCGTTCGTAGTAAGTTGAACTGCCTTTGAAATTGGAACTTGAAAAATTGGATCTGCTGAAGTCACAGATGCTTGGCTTTCCTCCTTTAGAAACAAATGGGACAAAATGTAGGTGCAATTTTCAATTATACCCTTCTTTCGCTTAGTGACTATGCAAGATCCATAGGGACTTACAAAATCTCCTGGCTACTTAGTATTCATTTCCAAGGTAAATGAGTGCAGACATATGGAGCTTTTTCAGAAGAGAAGCTTGATTCTATTTCAAACTCTTTATCTATTAGACATTAGAATTTCTGAAATACACTTAGAAAATACAAAATACTGGCATTTTCACATAAAGATCGAGTAGTTTTCCTAATAAACTATGTACAGGGAAACAGTATGTATGCAAATGTTTCAGGAAGGAGAGGAGATCTTAAAGGATGTGAAAGATGTTTAAGAATGCAACGTGTGTGTGTGTGTGTGTGTGTGTGTGTGTGTGTGTGTAGATGGTCACAGGAACCCCTTAGTGTGGGGTAATGCTGTTCATATGGCTGCTGAAATATGGCTTGTGAAATATGGCTAGTGTCACTAAGAAACAGAATTAATTTTAACAAATGTTCATTAATTTAAATTTAAGTAGCTATATGTGGCTAGCAGCTCTTGTACCAGACATAGTAGGTCTTGGAAAACTGCAAAAAAATCCCAATTCTTTATAATACTCCCTACTCCTTTTCTATATTCCTAAGTTTAAAAACAAAATATTTTAACAGTACTAGTCAATTAATCATGGATAAGTGGCTATATGGGAAAGCTGGGATGAAGGTCAGTTCTGGGTGTCTGGGGTGTGGGGTACTGAGATGTACCCCTAAGAAGACTGCCTTCTGCAAAGGCTATGGCAGTGCTGATAATGACAATCTCTGCCACCTGCAAGAACCATTTCAGCATTCTCATGTCACACCTTGCCCCTGCCCACACCTCCTTTCAGAGGCAGCCCACATCCAATGTCTAATCAATGACTACAAAGGTCCAGCCTCTTTGTTCCAACTCAGGACAACTCTGAAGACCCACCAGCTCCAGAGAACCCTGTGGGATTGGCTGAGGCCTTTGCTGAGACTGCACAGCAGCTCAGCTTCCTTCTGTGCCCAATCCTGCTTCCATCCCTCCATGCCCAAAGATGATGCTGTCAAGAGGATGCCCTAAAGACATCTCATTGTTTGACTCCTGGAACCAGCCTGTGACAGTCAGTGCCAGGGTAGCCTAGGAAAGATGCTAAAATGGAGTCTGGAGCTGGATCATCTGCCTGGTTGACAATGAGACCACCACACTAGTGAGAGAGCAGACAGATGGCACCAGCACACAGCAACAATGCAACCGTAAGTAGCAGGGAGAGCCAGTGGAAGCAAATGCATTACCTTGCAAGATCCATCAGGTGCTTGAGAACTATGGAGAAATAGTAGCAGAGAAGACTGGTGGGACTTGGGGGGGCTACTGCTAAACTTCACTCATACTTGAAAAAAAGCAAAAAGCTTAAATGATGAATCAACAATTAAGTAAGTATAAAAGCCAGGGGACATCCACAGGAGCTTAGAAAGACACAGTCATCTCACACAGCTCATGACAGCAAAGGCAGAGAAAGCCAAGGACTAACTGGGAAAAAAAATCTTGAATACCCAGAAGCCCTTAAAAATCTTGACTACCCAGAAGCCCTTAAAAATCTTGACTACAAAGAATCCCTTAAGGATCTTGACTACCCAGATTCCCTGAAAAATCTTACTACCCAGATTCCCTTGAACTCTTTGAGCCTGCAGATGCGGCCAGTCCTTCCCATGAAGAGTAAGAACTCCCTTCTCACATCTGGATGGTGTAGGGACCTCTGCCCACAGCATATGCCTGTGCCCCACTACCACACCCCAACCCCTCTCCTGGTCGCTAGACCAATAACTGGGGTTGTTGCAACACACTCAGCCACTAAAGCACTGGGCCAGTTAAGGAAGGTAAGGGACTAACCCCTAAGAAAGTATAGGACAGAGCACTATGCCCCCACAGGAGCCAGGAGAGTATGCACACGACAAGACAGCTGAGGTCCTAAATTGAGGAGGGCAGAACACAGATGCAAAAAATGAGCAGCTCAAAAAGGCACTGGATCAATCCTTACAATGAAAAGAAATCAAGGAGACATGTAAAGGGAGCTGTAGGCAGCCGCTCCAATAAAAACGACCCTTTGCTCTGTTTCCAGACCAGCAACCCACTGACTGTAGGAGAGAACAGGTCCCTAGGAGGAGGGACTGTGCGACACTAGAAAAACTGTACTTGGCAATGGCTTCTGCAGTCCTTCTCTCAAAGGGGAAATGTACACTGGGCTAAGGGGAATGTGCAGGCATTCCAGAGTCTGTGAAGAGGGGGTTCAAATGAATGTTGTTACCTAGGGACCCAAAGCATCAGCACAGCTCGTCTGTGACAGCAAGGCACATGGGGGGCAGGCGGTAAATGGAGTCCTGGCCCAGGACCCCCAGTGGCCACTCAGCAGCTGGCACAGGGCAACACCGAATTCTTGGCCTCTGACATAAGATCTATTATCATGGGGAAGGCCAAGAAGAAGTCTCTGAATTTGACGCCATCCTCCTCCCTAAACACCGAGATAGAACAAGAGAAACAAAATAGCATCCTGAGAGAAATGACATCCTTAAAAAGCTGATGGACACAGGGGATGGTCTCTCATATCTCCATTTAATTCACCAGTTTGACCACTGCAAAAACCACACAAATCCTGGGGGATGACACTGAACTACTGGAAACTCAAACAAGTAACAGGTCCGCTGTAGCCTCTCTGCAAGCTGGTTTTCCTTGACAGAGTAGACTAGCATGGCCTCAGGTACAGGGACAATGATTTCGTCAAAGTGCTCCTTCCCAACCCTATCACTAAAGAGGATCAGAAACAGTTCACTTTAAGTTGGAACAACGTATACATTTACAATGATGCCCCAGGGCTCTCATAAGTCTGCCTGCTGTTATGAGTCTGAATAAATGTGGAACACCTGCAAAGCACCACACTAACCAGCTTACTCTATCAGGGGCATTGTGCTATCAGACTGAATGAGCAACGAGAAGTGGTCAGAATACTGGAGTCCTTGGTAAGACCCATGCCCTATGCAATTTAGGGGCTTGCAGTGTCAGCACAATTTTTAGGGTTCTAACAGTTTGGTGCATGTCAGGACATCCCCTCCCAAGTAAAGGCCACACTAGTGCACCTTGTACCTCACTTCTCCTAGAGAGAAGCAGAATCACTGCTAAGCGTCTTTAGGATCTGTGGATAGCACATCCCATACCTGAGAGGACTGCTGAGACCCAAATACCAGGTGACAGAAAAGGTCTCCAGTTTTGCATGGGGCCCAGAGCAGGAGAGGGCTCTACAGCAGGTCCAAGTGACAGTGCTTGTTAACAGGTCCTGCCGCTCTACCACACAACCCAGAAGACCCTCTGGTTATAAGAGGTAATACTTCCGCATGGGAGAAAGGTACCATACGGGGCTGACTGAGGCCTCTGTTGAGACTGCATCGCAGCTCAGCTTCTCACTGTGCCAAATCCTGCTTCCAATCCCTCTGTGCCTCAAGGCGATAGTCCCAAGAGGATGCCTACAAAACATTCTTTTTTTTCCCAAGTCTTTACTCTCTCAGTATAGTATTTCATATTTATATTGTCTCCCTTAAATACTTCAGATTTGTTAAATCTTTTAACTACATTATTTACAACTCAAGTCTATTTAATGACACTTTCTATTAAGAAAAAACCTAGAAACCGTTTTTTTTTTTTTGAGACAGAATCTCACTCCGTCGCCCAGGCTAGAGTACGGTAGTGCAATCTCGGCTCACTGCAACCTCCGCCTCCTGGAAAAAACCCACAAACTCTTAACAGATCTTCCTCCTAACTTAAAACTCCTAGTCAGATGAATGAGTACTCTCTATCCCCGCTGCCATGAACTGATCCTGTCTCTGGTGCATCACTGTATCTGCTCCCACCAGTCCAGGCATACGTTGTGTCTGTTCCCAAACCAGACTGAGATACACTTACTGCAATTATCTCACTAAACAATTCACAAAATAATGAAGTACAAGTGCAAAAACAATAGCCCATAGTTGTTTATACACAAAATCATACTTGTATGAAAGTTTTAGAAAGACACTATAAAAGATGCTAAAATAAATTGCTATCATACGAGGTGTCTACAAATAGTGCTAACATACAAGACAGATGCTGCATCCAAATTATTTCTTAAATAAATGTCTACATCTGTCTTCATTAAAAAAAGAGAACAAGACACTAAAACTGGTAGTAACTGCAGTAAGGCTGTGGTTTTTGTAAGAAAAGTCCATGTGGAACTCCAAACAGCCACTCAACAGAAAGAGGACTTAGCCCTGGAAACTTATTTTAAGCAGGTTAGAAAAAACTTCAGGGTACCATACACTGACTATGGCGAGAAATTAGCTATTATGCAACGTGATACTCAACTAACTGCCCATACAACTTACCTCTGTTTGACTCATCTAAAATGAGAAACCAAGTCGTTAGTTCTCCAAAATAATGACAAAACTGAGTTCTTAACTATTTACTTCTTCAAATACAGAAATAATAATACAAGACCTTTTATAATACCTGGGTGGGAAAACTTTTACTGGAAGGGGCCAAATGCCTTAGGCTTTGCAGGCCCCTGTGGTCACCATTAACTCTGCCATTGTAGCTCAGAAGCTGTCACAGACACGACCTAAACGAAAAGGCATGGCTATGTTCCAGTGAAATCTATTTACAAAAGAAAGGTGTTAGGCCACATTTGGCCAGTGAGCCATAGGTTGTTGACCTCTCTTCTAATGTAATAATTTAAAAGCCCAAAGCAAATATCCATGATTAAAAAGCATCCACAGCATAAAGAAAAACTTGCTTACCTGGCCAAGAGACTCCTGCAGATGTACCTGCAAATATTCTGGGGGTAAAGCAGGAACATTCAGAGAGGCTAGTGAGAGTGGGGGTACCGAACGGGTAAGTGAGGACTCAAAGTCTTCAATTAAAACATTGGATTGGTTGCTGTTCACTGCATTTTGCTTCAAAACCTCAGAATCCTTTCTTCCTAAATCATCGAATCTCAGAAGCTCGACTTGTGATTCAATGTGTAGCAACTCTGACTTCACAAGGTCTGTCCTCGAGGACGCAGGTGATGCCACCGGGGCTGTGCCACTTATCTCCTCTTGTCCTCTGCTTGACCTAAAGTGCTCTCTGAGGGCCGGCCAGAGTCCAGCAATCCATGGCTCAACCACAAGTTCTAAACTGGACAGTAAAAGCAAAGGAAAAACAAAACAAATGCCTAAGTTCTCCATCTGAATGCAGAACAGGACAATGACAGTCTGTCCATCTGGCAAAGTGTGCACTTGTTAGAAACACTACGAAGACCATTCGGAGTACAAAAAATGCTTCATGATTAAGTTTTAAAAAGCAGGATATATTATGTGTTCATTAGCACTGCAGCTGAAAACATGAGCATGTATAAAGGTAAAAGAAATGAAGAGGGACAGGAAGATATTCTAGTAATAGGATGATAGGAATAGAATTCCTCAAACCAGAATTGGTAAACTTTATCTTCAGAAGATATCATTTTAAATAGGCATACTAATGCTAACAGAACTTAACCAAAATCCAAGCCCACCATAATGCTGCAAATGCTCATTCCATCCATCAAATGCACCTTTTTTTTTCTGCCTAGCCGATTTACTGATGTTTTTCCTACAGATTAAAATATCACCAAGAAATCACTACAGATTAATGCCAAGTCCTTGGACTAAATAAATAATGCCTTTCTCTCAGTCCTGAACCATTTTATTTATTTATTTATTTTCATTTTAGTAAAATTCCCAGGGAAGCTGACAACAGGAGAAAAAAAAAAGCAACTATCCTTTGGGAAAGCTGAATTCATCATAAATAGATTGTTTTAAATGTGGCAGTCCACCTATTAACAAATGATGATAACAACAGCCATTCCCTGAACAGAGAAGTAGAGTCAGTGGATAAGACCGTGTCAGGGCTGTGGAAATAACACCACTTTCAATCACAACTGAAAGGAGGTTCGATTAAATTCTAATTCCTAAAGCGAAATGAGTATTAAGAGGACGCACATTTCAGGCCTGTGTCTCATCATGACTCAGGCTGTCATTTCACTGTGCTCGGTAAGTGCTCATGTAGTACACTGCTCAAAATGTGGTTATATATTAGATCTGCCCTGAGGAGCCTTTGTGAAAACAAGTTTATAAAATTACAGGTTCAATAATAACAGCTACATTTAAAATATCACTTTCATAACTCAGAAATATTAAGGTGATAATATGCGTTAACCATGAAGAGAGCTAACGTTCACTAAGTGTTTACCACATGATGACAGGCACTCTTCTAAGAGGACAACATGTATTAATCCGTTTGATCCTACCACAAAGCTTACACAGTAAATAGATTACTGTTATTTATTGCATAGAGGCAAAAACCGAGGAACAAAAAACTTAAGTAATTTGATCAAGTTCTCAGTCGGGAAGTGGGGGATCAAGGATTTGAACCCAGGTAATGGACTCATGCGTGCATTCGTAACCCCATTTAGTGTGGTGGTATGTACATCAAGCAAGAATGTCTTGAAAATATCTTTGTTTCAGAAAAAGGAAAAATTGAAGTAAGGTAGTTAGGTTGAAAAATCTAAGCAGTGTAGTCTACTGAAATATACAGTCAAGCATTTTAATACTGACACCAATAAATCAACAGAGAAAATGAAAGCCTTTGAAGAGAAGTGAAATATAGATGAGTGATGGGCCTAATGGTAATGGATGACACAAGCTTTACATTAACAGTTAAACACAGCCCATACAAGACTGAGCATTTAATGTCAATGAGCTTCTGGCAAAAGAAAACTCAACATAAAGGTACAGAGCTAAAAGTGAATTCGCAAAGAAATGTCACAAAGCTTTGTCACAATCAGGAACAATATGTGTGCTGGGGACGTGGAAAAAACCCACAGCATCACGGCTGAAGGGAAAGATGGAAGAAGTGGGCACAAGGGTGAGTTCAGCAGAAATACAGTATGCCGAAAAGCAAGACGTTTGCTGAATTTGTCATTTTCTCATAAACAGATTATTCAGTAACATAGTGAGAGAAAATTAAATTAATACATGGACCTAGTAGAAAAAAATCAAGGGTGTGTGCTATTATCTGGCTAAAATAGTTAAAGGCTAAGTAAGTTATAGGACATCTGTAAGACCACTGAATAAACACATCAGGATAATTTGAAAGGTGCCACACTGGGTGAAATACTGACTTGTAAAAACAAGAATAAAAGTAATGAAAAGATAAAGCATGTGTCTGTAAACGTCTGATTGGCATGGTGGCAAATGGCCGTTCAGAAGGTAACAGCACGCCAAGCAATGCAGCCTACAGTGCAGGCCCCACAGACCCATGTTCTCTAACGGTGAAGTATGGCTCACCAGGCTCCCTCCATGTAAAGAGCCCAATCCAAAGGCTCCGTGTGCACGGCAAGGAGAAGGGCATGCACGATTCAAGTTGCTAAAGAACAAGCTGATTTCTGCAAATACCTACACTGTTTAAAATAAAGATAACTGTACTGGGGTACCTTTTCTAACGCTTGCCATTAGCACACACTGAGAAGGATGAGACAGACACAAAAGAAAATCAGCAAAACAGGTAAATCAAGCTCTGGCTGACCCTCTTGGGTCCTAAAGCCAAAAAAGCTAACAAAAGTAAAACTGAGGAAAAGTTCAGTGTTAAATGAAAAGTCAACACGTTTTATAAATGAACTTTCATCATGCACAGAGGGCTTATTGGAATAAACAGAGAACACTGCCCTTACCCTACACAGTCATCTGCATGTCCAGTGTCATAGAAATGCCGGGCTCCAAGCTCTTGAAGTCGTTTATCAATTATTTTCCCCCCATTACAAAAGTAGGTGTATTCTGAATCACCGAGACCTAAAGAGCCCAAATACATAATTAATGCACAATAAGGTTTAAATTTAAGGACATAAAGAATAGGTAAATAAAGTATCTAAAATAATACTATTCCATGCTCTTTTGAATGGAGTAATAATGTACAGCCTCACATTTTATTCTCCTTGAGTAATACTATGCATGCAGGCAGCTTTCTTCTAGTTTACAATATAAAAGTACCAGATATAATGAAACAAAATACTTATTGGCCACTGGTGAAAGAAAAGACTTCACACTTTCATCTCCTTGACTATGTGTAAAAATATAGAAATCTTAAAACTAGGGTCAGACAGGTTGCAAAACCACAATATCTGTTATCTGTACATTTTTTCTGATACTGAGCAGGGGTCAGCCAACCATAGCTTCTGGGCCAAATACAACCCACCGCCTTTCTTTGTAAATAAAGTTTTATTAGAAGACAGTCAGGTCCATTTGTGTATATATTATTTATAACAGTAAGAGTTGAGTAGGCCTGCAAAGCCTAAAATATTTACTATCTGGCCCTTTATAGATAGAGTTTGCTGACTCCTGATATACACAGGTACACCTGCCGTATAAACAACCACAATAACGATGTGCTATAAAGGTTTCTGTGTTGGGGAAATTAAGAATTGCTTCTATGTCTCATGGTAAAAAATAAATAAATAAATAAATAAATAAATAAATAAATAAATAAAAAAGCTTCAATTCCTCAGCTGAGTAGTCATCTCCATGTTCTTTCTCTACAAAAGGGTGAGAAATCAGTGGTTCCAGGCTCGGGCCTAACATTGACTAGAACAATGGGATAGGCTTCCGCTCCTGTCTTTTCTGGATTTTTAAACAAGTACGTGTTCTCTCTCTGAAAATACAAAAAGTATAAAAACTTGAGGTAAAAAAAAATTATAAATACTGTGAAATACTCTCTTGAACATGTTATATATGACAGATCATTGCCAGGGTTACAATCTCAAATTTCTAATCAGTTATTTATTATACTCAATCCATCCTTTCCAGATACCCTCTCCAAAAAATAATCCTCAAAAAAAATATATATATATATATAGGTCACGAGTCAGGAATGCGGACTCTCAATTCCCCTCTGGTATCATATTGTGCTGATTTGGTCCTTCTGATCCTTTAACATTTTTAAACTATGGTTCACAGAGTCCTAGGTCAGTTTTTCTTAACCTGGGATACATGTTAGAATCACCTGGGAGCTTTTAAAAATAACGATGCCAGGGACCTACCTTGGAATAATTACATCAGAATCACTGGAGCTGGGCATAAGTCATAGAATTTAATAAAAACTCCCCTAGCTAATCCTGATGTGTAGCTGAGGAATGAAAATCATTCATTCTGGGAGAATTGTTCTTAGAGAAGTTATCAAAATCATTGGGAGTGTTTTGTTTCGCTTTGCCTTTCTAAACAGAGGAATGGCCTGAGAAGTTGCTTCTTCAACGACTGTTTCAGTAGGTTTAGGATGAGGCCCAGCCACCGCTACTCTGAAAATGTTTCAAGGCTGCATCTGAGGTGCACCCTTAATTAAAATGCTACTCAAGAGGTTCTGCAGAGGTGTGGCTCTGGGGTAGTCTGGGTAAGATTCAGAAAAGGTAGCACATTACATACATTTATATATACATAAATATATTTACATAAAAAAGACAAAACCTCTATGATCACACTTCATAGTTCCGATATAATATTTACATAAAAAAGACAAAACTTCTATGATCACACTTCATAGTTCCGAAAGATAATTCAGATACCAGAGATAACAACAGTATACTATATTAAGATCAGAAGAGAGAGACCATTACCCAGTAACCCATACCGCAGGTGAGCAAAGAAATCAACTGGCAGTGTCTGGTTCTGTATTTCCTTAACAAACTTGCGGGCTGTGTCGGGTGGGTCTCCGGTGCCCGTGGTAGAAACCACAACAACAAGAGGAGCTGTTTCGGTTTTTAGATCATACTACAAAACAAGGATATCAAGTCAGGGACCTAACACTGCATGCAGTTTTGATTTAACACAGCAGCAAAGCAATCAGCTTAGTTTTCTGTCTTGTATTTCAATTTTCCTCCTTGCCAGGTTTTTAGAGATGACCAGTCCAGTGACTACATGCTCTCAGCTTAATCAAGTTGCCTAATGCAGGATGTCGTTCAAGGAAACCATGCGTCTGTTTTGTTGAGGCTCATCAAGAAGTTGGGGGATTAACATGTCTTTCTCTTCATGTGGTGTATGAGAGTCAGGCACCAGAAAGGCACAGACAAGACCCATCCCAGGTTTCCATCTAGTCTGGTCCTTCATTTTCAGAAAAATCAGACGAAATAGGATACAGTCAACTCTTTGCCACCAAGTCATGGGCCAAACATTAACATGAGCTCTGATCTGCAAGGCAAATCAGCACTGCTAAGAGCCAAAATGAGGCACCGTGATGAGCTGCCAAGGAGGAACAGCAGCTAACTGGGTGGAAACGTCTTTTCATAAGTAAAAAAAAAGCAAGGAAAGAGGTGTTAAAATGGGGATGGGGAGACTCGAAGTAAAGAGAACTGATACATAAGCACTCAGGATTAGAATGGCAAGACAAGGAAGCAACAAGTAGAATACTGTGGTAAAGAAAGACAGCAATAAAAACACCACAGCTCTGAGATCTTTAGCAAAATATAAAACCAGCCACGTGTACTGCATGTGACACTAAGGCAGAGGGACAACAGGGCATTTTAAAACTGGGAAATTAAAAGTATTACCCCTTCTAAATCAGCGAGCTGGCTATCAAGAACCGCTCCTCATTCCCTCAGGTTTCCCGAGAGCTGAGAATATCATTAGCTATAAGCTGAGCTATAAACTGTTACAAATCAAGTTTATTCTTATACTCACGTAAGTTCAAATATTTCAAATAGAGCATTTCACTGTCTTAACTCTGAGAATATCATTAGCTATAAGCTGAGCTATGAACTCTTACAAATCAAGTTTCTTCTCATTCTCGTGTAAATTTAAATATTTCAAACAGAGCACTTCCTTGTCTTACTTATAAGGACTCCACAAGCTCTACTGCCCATGAACACCATCTAATTTGGCTCCAAATAATTCACCTTATTTTTCATGCTGATAAAAGAGGTAATGACTTGAGCTAACTTTTTACCAAGGCATTTAATGCTTCCAAGACTCTATATAAGTTGGGTGTTAAACTCTGCATACAGAGTTTGTATAAGTAAAGTCATCTTGAAAAGGACTATGTGAACTAGGAAGATTAGATTATGAACAGCTAGAGGAAACCATCAGCGAGCGAGGACAAACAGCATGACTAACTTGGTGTTTTAAAAAAAAAAAAAAAAAAAAAAAAAATTCACCATTCATCTGACTGTCAAAACACCTGCTGATCACCTTACTGAGGTCAACCACAAGGGGCCAAATCAGGACTAGTCTTATGATACTGATGGCTTTGGTTTTGTCCAAAGTAACAGATTCAGGTATTTCATCATGTGGCACTGCAATGTGAACTGAAGTTATTGCAGAATGACAGAGTCTGCTGACTGGCGGTCTTCTCCAGGAAGCTCCCTTTTCTCTGGTGTCCAGAGTCACATGGCAGGGCTGCATAAAGGAACTAGGTGAGTCTACTTCCATGAGCTGGGTTTATAATTCACTTGAGCTGCATACAGTCTAGTGTTCTGACCTAGAGTCTCAGGAAAGGCCAGAGGGGGTTGTGCATTTGAGTGAGAGAGCACTGGCAGGGCAGTCTCTGAAATGTTGAAGTGAACTTTAACCGCTTACTGGCTGGCAAATCAGCTTGTGGTATGAAGGCCCTGCCAACTGTTATCACCTGAATTGTCTGAAATGGTATAATCTGGAGGCAGCAAACTAAATAAAAGAACATATGATTGTAAAGTTGCAAATACCCTAAGGTAGGAACTTCTGCAAAGACTGAACGTAAACAACTAGTCCCTGACGAAGCAGCCAAGTGTTTTCCAGATCCTTACACTAGTACTTTAAATTCTATTTCACAAAAGAATCTAAGCGGTCCTTGATCAGGAGGAACTCTAACATGAATGGCAAGGCCTTTCTTTTGGGGAAAAAAATGGGGCACTGAGATTCAACAGACGGAAAGCACACCTGAGCAGGCAAACACACATCTCAGTTGTTCTCAGAGCCACCCTGTGAAATAGACACAGCATATGCTACTTCTGTCATTTACAGTGAAGGAGTTGTTACTTGTTTCAATTTTTGAGACCATTTAGTCTAATTCAACTGCACACTTCTACATTAGGCAAAAAAAAAAAAAAAAAAAAAAAAAATTCTAGTGATATCTTACCATACCACTGAACAAAACAATTTCTGTTAAAAAACAAGGACTATCTGGTGGTATTTAGTGTCCTTTATTGTTTCATAAACATCACTTCCCAACCAAAATTCTTCAAAGCACAAAACGGTAAAAATCCATTGTAACAGCTCTAACCTTACTGGATTCACTAATACAGTGCAGATCTGCAGAAAATCCATGGACCACAGCTTGCTCACATATTTCTTCTGCGATGGCCTTTGCCTGTCCCTGCTGTGTAGCATATAGTAACAGAAACCTCCTCATCCCTTCAAGGCATGTAACAGTGAAACTGAAAAATGGGGGAAAAAAGAGAGATCCTGTTTTTAATGAAATAGTAACAACCTAGAGGTATTGATTCTCCCTCAATCTTTAAGAAACAATGCAACAATACCCAAACGTAATATGAAATAGCCTTTTCTAAATTTGTTTTTAGCACTAATCTTAAATGAGCCTAAATAAGAATTCATCGAATTAAGGAGAGTGTAGGAATGAAACTCTAATTCCATGGCTCAGAAATCAGACTATCAGCTCGGAACTACTTGGGCTTGAATCTGTGGTTCCTAAGTGCAACCCTGTAGGCAAGCTCCCCAAATGACCAGTACCACAGCTCCTCTATCCTAAAAATGAGACTATTACCACCTACCTGAAAAAGGATGTGGCACAAGAAAAGAACCTGAACAAAACTTGAGGCACAGTATCATTCCTAACAGTCTTAAATATCTTTTGGTGTCCCCTTTCTTAAAAAATATAGAAGCAAAAATTATATTATAATGATAGGATTCTTGGTTCCTACTTGATCCTAATGCTACACTAATCATAGTACTAAAGGTAACTGAAGCACATCAGTTACCTTTTTTATATTTAATAGAAATCAAAAATATGTGAGTGTATGGGCATATTACATACAGGTGCATATAAAGAAAAAATATTTCCAATCCACTTAAAACATTTTACTAACACATGTTTTTCCTGAAGAGATAAGCAGTAGTAAAACAAACGACACTCACAGATTTTTTTTTGCATACTCATCTAATGGCTAAAACTGGTGGGATGTCAATTTGTGGAGACAGATTTAAACTGAAACCCAAACCAAAATATTGGCTTTTGGTGAATGAACCGCCCAGAACGGCACCTGGCACAAAAAAGGTACTCGACAAGTTATCTTAAAGAGTAAATGAACAATATGAAAACACTACACATTTACAGCTCACAGAAAACGGCGGAAACGATGATGAAAATCTTACTACAGCTAAAATTTCTACCACTTCCCATGAAACACACACATCCTGAGGACTTCCCAGGATCAATCAACCCCTCAGCCCTGCTACCGCCCCACAGCCCGGCACCACGTTCCCACGACTCTCAAAGGAGGCCCGGGCCCCAGCAGCCCCAGGGGCGGCGCGGAGGCGGTGGGCAGAGTTCACTGCCGCGTCCTGCCAGGTGGACTCTCGGAAAATCCCCGGTTCCCCGGAGCGCGCCGCCCCAACCCGACACGTTCCCCCGTCCCCCACGTCCCCGAGTGCGGTTTCCCTAGTCCTAGAAAGTGCCTGGAACCAAAAGCAGAACAGGCGAAGAGGCCCCACACCACCCAGGAGCCCCCGCGCGCAGAGATCGACGCCGATCTCCGGGACGCGCTTCCGGGGAAACCAAGGCCAAGACCAAGCCCGAGCCCGAGGCCGAGCCCGCCCCCGCGGCGACCCCCGGAGCTCTAGGGGCGTGGGAACCATGGGCGCAGGCCGACTGCCTCCCCCCGCTCCCCGGCCCGGGCCGCCTCTCCCTCGGGATTAGTGCGGGGCCAGCGGCCGGAATCCGAAAACCGTAGCCACCAGCGCGCTTACCTGCGCCGCGCCAGGCGAGGACACACCTGCACAGCGCGACTTCCACCAACGCTGCGCCCGTGCGCACTGCCGTAGTGCCCATGCTCGGTACCTAGGACCAATAGGAAGTTCCGAAGGGGACCTGGGCCAATCACATTGCGCGGCTGTGAGTCGTGCTCCCGCCCCGCCCCGCGTTTCCTACGGAGGCCCACGACGCCCAGGCGCTTCCGCGGCCACCCGGAATGATTGGCGGGCGGAGGGCGGTAGGTGTCCACGCGGACTCCCCGGCTGGGTGTCACAGACCTTATCGGCTTTCTCCTCAGGCTGCGCCGCCCTGCCCGTGTCTCAGCGCAGGTCCCCGGGGCGCCGAGTTTGGGGGTGCTCGGCCCGCGGGTCCCTTTCATTCCTAGGAAGACGCGCCCCGGGGCATCACGCCTGTCTGTCCTGCACACTCGTGTTCCCAAATCCCCCCGCGGCGTCTTTAGATCTGGACTGGCCGCCACACCTTCTCCCTTCATTGATCTGTGTTGTGCTTTTTCTTTTCCTACTTTGTTTCCATTGCTGAAGTAGACCCTTTCCTTCAGCCCTGTCTCCGGACACCGAGGGGAAACCAACAGCTTAGGGCCTTTCCAGCGCGTTTTTACCCTTGCCTTACTCTAACCTCGCGTAATTTCATCCGCTTTACCTATTCTTTGTTTGATTTCTATTCAAATGCAATTTCTTCCTTCAACCAACATTTAAGGGGCCACCCTTAAGAGCTACATTGCCTGAGTTTGAACCCTAGCTCTGCCACTTAACCACCTGCATAAACTGGGCAAAGTAACTTTGTTCTTCAACTTCTACCTCATGTAAAATGATGGTAAAGGTACTTAATCTGTGTAGGTTAATAGAAAGTGTTTAGCAAGTAGTGGCGATTGTTATGTTGGATGTCAGCCACTTTTCTAATTCTAGGATGCAGAGACCTTGCTCCTCTGGTGTTTATATGTTATTCATCCTTTTTTTTTTTTTCTTTTTCTGGTACTGGTTTGTAGTTTCAACATTGATGTTGGGTCAATCATGTTCTCAATGTATTTAACCTTGTCATTTCAAATGTTTTAATTTAGTTATCAAATTGAGAATCTGATGGCATGGCATTAATCACCTTGAGGAAGAACCTTTATCGTTTATCTGATTTTCGGATGCGTGGAGCTGCTTTGAAAAATCAACCTCTAAATCATGTTCACAAGGTAGTCAAGGAGCGTCTGTGCCCTTGGTTCTGTTCACGACAATCTGAGCCTTTCAGGATCAGGTTCCATCATGCCTATTGTAAAAAGTTTAATTCGAAAAATGGAAATGACCTTCATCCACTCAGTGGGCCAGTGTTCTCTCAAGTATCTGACTGGGTCAGGCTTGAACAAAATGTTAAAAATGGGGAGAGTCAGACGTTTTACAAGAGACTGAGCAACTTGACTTCATCAGAGGAAGTGCTAAGTTTTATAAGCACGATGGAAACCCTGCCTGACACTATGGCAGCAGGAGCTTTACAACGAATTTGTGAAGTGGAAAAAAAGGATGGTGATCAAGGGTTGCCAAAAGAAATACTGGAGAATAGCATCTTTCAAGCTTTATGCTTTCAGTTGGAAAAGGAACCCTCACAGCTGTCAAACACTAGTTTGGTGACTGCTTTGCAAGCTCTGATTCTGTTGCATGTGGATCCTCAAAGTAGCCTGTTACTGAACCTGGTGGCAGAATGCCAAAATCGTCTCACAAAAGGTGGCCTGGAAGTTCGCAACCTTTGTATTCTTGGGGAGAGTCTGATTAGACTGCACAGTTCGGGTTGTGTGACACTAGAACTGATTATAAATCAACTGCAAGGTGAAAAATTGGAAACATTTACCCCAGAGGATATTGTGGCCCTTTATAGAATCTTGCAGGCATGTGCTGAAAAAGTAGATGAACACCAAACATTTTTAAATAAGATAAACAACTTTTCCCTTTCAATAGTTTCCAACCTGAGTCCTAAATTGATTAGCCAAATGCTCACTGCCCTGGTGGTTCTTGATCAAAGTCAAGCATTTCCTCTGATTATAAAATTGGGCAGATATGTCGTGAGGCATGTCCCACATTTCACTAACGAGGAGCTTAGGAGAGTCTTGGAGGCGTTCATATATTTTGGGTACCATGACAGATTTTTCACAAAAGCCCTAGAGAATCGTGTAGCTGCGGTGTGCCTCACGTTGGATCCTGAAGTTGTCTGCGGAGTCATGGAGTACTGCGGTAGAAAACGGATTCTTTCAAAACCCATCCTCAATGCAGTGGCAGAAACTTTTGTTTGCCAATCAGAAAAATTTTCACCTAGTCAGATTTCTGCATTAATGGAACCATTTGGGAAACTCAATTATTTGCCACCAAATGCCTCTGCTTTCTTTAGAAAGCTGGAAAATGTACTATTCACTCATTTTGATTATTTTCCACCTGAAACGTTATTGAAACTTCTTCATTCATGTTCACTGAATGAATGCCATCCAGTCAACTTTATGGCAAAAATATTCAACCCATTTTTCCTTCAACGGCTGCAAGGTGAGTTGGTTATAAATTCTGACAGTTGGAAAAGTTAACCTTTGAATTGGCAGTGGTTTCAAGTCACATATAAAGGCAGTGTGTTGCCTTTAGTTTTTCTTCCATAGTGATCTGAAGATGAGACCTGAAGTTGACAGATGCTGGCATAAACACAGAGTTAAAGCATGCTAGGAACTCATATAAAGGGAGGAAAGCTGTCTCAGATAAACTGACTTTTGCCTTATCTGAGAAATTGCAGCATTCTTAGGAGATACAGTGATGGTAGTGGAAATAGCCACATTAACATGTTAGAACTTCGATGAGTGAGCAACTGTATCTTTTTTTTTTTTTTTTTTGAGAGGATGGCATTGTTCATCTCGATTCAAGGCCACTCACATATTTCCGGAACTCTATAGTTAAAGGAAATTTCCACTAATTCTGTGAACTTATTTTCTTTCTTTTAATTGTACTCGGTAGCTAGGAGCTGGGTTCTTGGAAGCCAATTTCATTGGTGGCAAGAGGAGGGCAGAATTAATTCTAACAAGTTCATTTCATAGTGTCATTTAAATGTACAATACTTCTATCTGGAGTGTGTAAATTGATGTTGACTGTTCATGATGTTCTCTCATACATACCTCAGTTCAGATGTAACTGTGACTGGGATGCTTTCTGTTTTAGGTGAAGAATCTCGTTTGGACAGATTGAGTCGGGCACGACTGACCCAACTTTTCTTAACCTCAGTCCTAGAATGCCCTTTCTATAAGGTAAAAGCATGAACTGTATGTGGCTTTATTTCCCTATGGGTAGTTTCCTATTAAGTTCCTTTGCTTTTGATCTGTCTCGATAACCTCCTGAAAAAGCAGAATTTCATTTACTTGGAGTTAGTTGCCACCAGATAGGCTTTTCTTTGATAAATTGACCCCATTTTCGAGTTCTTGCTCTTGAAGGAACAATTTCCTGCTGTGTAAGATTTCTTAGGAGGTTTTATCAAGTGCTGCAGGCATGTGAGTTACAGTATTTCTCCATTCTCTCTGAAGGTTTTACAGGGTTTTACTACTAGGTTTCCCATAGCTGTTTGTTATCAAAGTGTGAATGTCTGGACTGCACAAATACCTAAATTATTTGCAAGTACAGTACATTGTTAAGTGAAATTAGATAAAAGTGAAATTTCACTTTTATCTAATAGAGTTTAGTTTACCTAGAGTTTGCTCTTCCCATAAAGACCTATAAAGATTTATCCTATTATCTGTCATATTCCTTATGTAGAATCAGAAATAGTGCACCAGACTATAACATTCTCTCTCCACTTCTCTCTACTTGACTCTGAATCTTAGTTTAGAGTATCTGATTTTTGAAATAAGGTAATAAGAATGGAAAAATACCCCTTTTTAAAAACAGCTTAGACGGTACTAAGTTATATAAAGATAAGTAATAGTTAATCCCAATCTCCTACCATTTCTAAAGGAATAGTATTAAAAGCAGTTTCTGTGCCCAAATGTATACAGATACATAAACGCTGTCTGTTTTTTTTCTCTTTCCAAGGAATGAGACTGACTAATCAAAGTATACTTTGCTTTTATGCCCAGTATATCATGGCCATCCCTTGAGGCCAGTGCGTACAGATCACATGCTTCTTTTTAGAAAGACATGATATTTCGTGGTGTTTATTCTACTATTCTACTATCGATGCACTTGGAGGTTTTTTGCAACTTTTGTCTCTATCAAGAATGCTATAATAAACATTCTTGCAAATCCTGTCATACTAGAGCCTTTTTGGTTTTTTTCATAATAAACTAGATTCCTAAAAATGTGATCACTGGATTAATTTTTGATGGATAATGGCAGAATTTTTTTCCCTAATAGTACAGATATCACATGTCCCCAGCAATGAATGAAGATGGCCATGTCTCCTCCACTTCTATTGCAGTGTGTTAGTAGTCTCTTTAATGTGTGTTACTCAACTGCATGAAAGAGGGCATCATATCATATATTTAAGTTGCATATTAATGAGCATTAATGAAGTTTAGCGTATTTCCAAATATGTGTTGGCCATTTACATTTCTTTTGAATTGCTTTCTACACCTTAATTTATTTCTGTTGGATGGTTTGTCTTTAAGGATTCATTGTAAAACAGATATTAACTATTGTGAATGTTGTACATATTTTCCCCTGATTTGTACTCTTTCATTACTTTTTAATATTACTTATGATGTATTTTTAAATGTTCTGTAGTCGAATATGTCTTTTATGACTTCCAAGTTACCCGTCTAACTTAAGAGCATGAATATTTTACAACATTTTAAAAAAAAATCTTTTAAATTTTATTTAGATCTTTGATCTAAAAGCAAAATTGAATTTTTATTTATTTGTATATGTATTCTAATTAACAAGTAAAAGTTGTATATACTTATTGTGTTCATGTTGTTTTGAAATATGTATACATTGTCAAATGGCTAAATGAAACCAATTAACATGTGTATTACCTCCATACCTATCATTTTATTTTGTGGTGAGAATATTTAAAATGTACTCTTGCCGGGCACGGTGTCTCGTGCCTGTAATCGCAGCAGTTTTGGAGGCCAAGGCGGTTGGATG